TACTGGTGTAGATTCTACATCATCAATTTCTATAACTGGATTTCACTATTTTAAAATTTAGACAGTATCTTAAAACATTAGATGAGCATACAGTTATTCTCCTTGTTTGTACTCTTTCCACTCTGAAATTGCATTCCCAAAATGCACCCTCTTTGCAGGTTAAAGACTAGAGTTGTGCTGGATCTCCAAAATCTTTTAGCTTCTTTCTGCCATATAAGTTTTGGTATCTTTTGGTTTGGGTAGCAATAGGGAATGGGACTGACAAAGAGAGAGGGAGGCTGGAAAGGAAGATTGCAGAACAGTGAAATTCATCCATCCTCCTCACTCCCAAATTGGAGGTTATTTGAAATCAGTACTGCCTCTTACCATTTCATTCACAGCAGTTGGCAGTTTTTATATCCCAGAGAACATTTCTTGGTCATTGGAGGGCACAGGTAACAGAGGATCTGCAATAGCTGACTTCCTGAAATTGGGAGAGCAGGAAAGCGGGTTACTAGCAGGCAGTTGAGCAGTTCAAACCGCATGAGCCTCAGTTTTGTCATCTAAAATGTATGTATTGCAAGACTGTTTAGTACTCTACTTTTCTTTTCTTTTTTTTGAATATATTTTAATTTGTATAGATTTTTGAAGTCTAAAAACAGACTGTCCTTTAGATATGGATGCTTTTTCTGAACATGTTTCCTGGATAAAGAGGAAAGTGTGTCACCAAATAAAACAAGGGATCTAGTTTTTTAAAAATAGCTGTACTCAGAGAACTATTTATTTCTTGGTTGACTGATTAAAATGGAAATAATTCTTAGCTAATAAGGATAAAAACTTTAAACCTTACTAACTTTTAAGTTTGCTCCAGGGACTTTGCTTATCCTGTAACAACATATTCATGATAGTTTTTATATGAGCATAGGGATATCTTTTGACACAGTTACATGGCCAAGAAGACCTATTTTCTGCTTAATCAAACCAAAATAATCGTCTAATTCTGTGTTATGATCTGGCCAATGGCATGAATGAGAAAGTGGTATTGGTAAATGTCACAATATTGATTGCAATTATTACCTTTAGGAAAGAATCATATAAGATGTCTCAGGCTCTGTGAACTCAGTGGTGTGAATGGTTCTTGATGAGATTAGTGATAAAGATGTCAAGACAGCAAGAGCTATGAGATGATGTGTTGCACTCTCAAGGCACTGTTAGACAAATGAATTTTGAAGTAGTCTGATAGTAACTGTTGCAGAGGACTAGCAGTTCCTTTTTTGGGTGGAATACAGTATGGAAGAAAGGATGTGATTATTCATTCTTTCACATTCTGGATTTAAAGAGAGGATTGGCATTTGGTTTTGGGGAAGATTCAGTAATCTTGAAAGACAAATGCTTTTCATACCTTTGTAGTATTGCAGAAAAAGAAACTATTCTAGGAATATAAGGAGAACTAGAGCTTTCTGGCATGCAGAAAACTGTTATGTATGTGTGATGATGTGTTTATGACTGAGTTAATCTCAACTTAAAATTTCGAAATTGTCAGTAAGAATTTAATTAAATATTCCTAAATAAAAGCAAGAAGGAAAACTGGCAATGATTAAATTTAAAGAATTAGGCCAGTATTTCTTAAGAATTCTGTAGTTCTTTTAGATAACTTCAATCCCACTGACACTCAGGTCTCTAAGGCATGCAGCTAGGACTTTATATCAGCCGTGGCAAACCTCAGTCATACAGACTGTACTTCCTGCAGCACAAACTGTCTTTAAAATTGATTAAGAACAGTCAATAATTGAAGAACAGTTTTAAAATACAGCCTTAATGAAGCCTGACAGTAGACAAGAGTTTCTTTCATAGTGCCCTGCTGTTTAATTCCCTGCAAAACTAGGCTCTGCTGACATTGCTGCAGACAGACACGTGCCGGGCGCTTGTGTGGCTGCAGATCAGCGGTTCCAGCAGGATGCTGCGGGGGAGCCGTGTGGTGTCAGACCAACGGCGTGGGCTGAGGCTGTGCAGAGGGTAGTGCTGAAAGTGGGAGTAAGATCTGCTCTGAGTTCCTGTGTACGTGCAACCCTGAGAGCCTCGTCTGGTTTTGCTAATTCAGCTACATAACTTCAGAATATGTTGTCAGAGTCTCTCTCTTGATAACTGCAAACAGAGAATCCCAACAGTCTTGCAGATAGTAAAATGATTTCTGTAGTCTCAGTGTAGCACTTTTACTGGCAGTTGGTAGAAGCAGCTTAATAAACTGCGTAAGCAATTGGCATGCAGTGCAAACTTCAGTTTTACTCTCTGAATCTTAAAAGCATTAGATGTTTCTTCCAGTTTAATATCTGCATAATGGATATGGATGGCAGGATATGCTCCTGCCAGGCAGCTCTCAGCAGCCTTTAACAGGCCAGCCTAGACTTCCAGAGCAATGGCGTTCTTCTCCTCACGTTATCCATCTTGTGCCAAATATGCTGAGCCTCAGGTTTTGCAAAAGGCATTATTAAAAGTGGTGCTTTGGGCCTGTTTTTCTCCAGCTCTGCAGGTCATGATTTGGGCCTGGGGGTGGAAGAGGCGGCATGTGTATTCAATGTGACTCACCTTGCTCCTGCTCCTGAACTCAATGGCTCTTGCCCTAATGTAGCAGTATGGCAGAGGAGTCCTCCAGCCTTCCTGTCCCTCTCTCCTTTTTTTTTTTTTTTTCTTCCCATACTTTTATCAATGTTCCTCCCATTGTAAAGAACAAGATGGAAATTCCTTCTTGGACCATTGCTGCTGATTTTTTCCAGTCAGGGAATCAGTAGAAGAGCACCATTATCCCTGAGTTTCATACAGGCAGCTGTGGAAGACAAAAACTCCCTTCTTGTTCATGCCAGGTATGGTAATTCTTCAGCCTCCTGTGCAGTGTATGTGCAGTTGTTTTTTTGGCAGGTATTCTGCAGGCATGTTACATTATTTCCTCTCCTACTTTCTTACCTTCTCCTCTCCTTCCCCTAGGGTTATTCTCTGGAAATGTTTTCTCAGCTCTTGTATCTGCTGACATGGCACTTTGATTTGCAGGTTAACATGGTTGATCTTTTCAGAAAGCAATTTTAAATGGTTGTTCAGTTATTACGTATATGAATGAGCTGATAGACACAGGCCATTTAAAACTTGTAAAGCATCTGAATTAGGAAAATGCCTCTTACACTTCTATTATTTTTCCTTGTTCTAGCAGAGAACAAACAATTTACAGCTTTTAGGCTTTGACAGCTTTTAGCACTTCACTGGATGCAGTGTAAAATAGTTCTGTCATGCTCCTGTCCGTTACCAGCTTCCTCAATTTTCAATGAGGTTGGACCTGTGTTTCTCTTGTCAGAGCTGAGCGTGCATCCTCAGGGCTGTAGGTTTTGTAGAAGCCAGGCAGTCCTTCTTCTGTACCTGTGAGTTGCTGAATTCAGTCTTTTGCTTAAAGGTCAATCATGTGAGCTCACACATGTCAACCTTATGAAACAATGGTAGGGGTTTTGTTGCTTGTGCTTTTTATTTGGCTTTTTAAAGTTCCAGTTCTCAAATCTGTTGATTTGGGAACCTGCCCCTTTTCTTACCTTCTTCTGGTCTAGAGATACACACTCGGTGATTGAGGCATCATGCAGTGTTAACTCATCACAACTAAGACACCATAAGTCTAGAGTATGTCAAGAACCATGCACAGAACAGATACTTTGTTAGCTCATAATGTCGTAATTCTGTGGGAATAAAACTTGAGGAAAAATATTGTTCCAGTTAGTTGTATTTACAATATACCCAACAAGCTGGATTTTTTAAAAAATGTTTTTATCTCCATCTCTGTTTTGTACCATATCTTAATAATAATGCTTCAAAACAAGCCAAACCAAAATCAAAACATTTGGTATTATCAAAATGGTTGGTTGTTTCTATTTTCTTAATTTTCCATTCCATATAAGTGCAACTGCTTGGGGCAACCCACTGTCAGCACCTGGCTCTGGTAGAGGTTTCCTAACCATTTCTGTTTTCACTAGGGCTTTCTCAGTTGAGCCTGTATCACATCTCTTGACTTCATTGTTCTATTTTGAAGCCAACCTTGTTGTGTATTTGCTTTGCAGTGTGCATATGCTCTTGATTGAGAGGGCTTAGGTATATAAAGCGGTCCTAACTTGGGGGTGGTTAGAGTGTAGGAAAGAAATGTCCATTTTTGGTTATGCCTGCAAAAGGTAAAAAAAAGCTTTATGGTGTTTTCCCTCTTGTCCACACTAAAGTAAAATGTGAACATAAATTGTGATCCCTTATTATCTGTGTGGCAATGTGTATCTGAGGCTGCAAGTCACCTCACCTGGTCTGCTCTTAAATCTTATTACTGTCTAAAGATACACAATGGCTACCAGGAGAAGAAACCTCTTTTTAAAATAATTTCAAACTGTAATGGAAGCTATATTGTAACAGGAAGCCTTTAAGCTGGGAGAAATAGATCTGGGCCATTTCCTTCCCATGTATGTAGCCCTCCCTGATGCTTTTTCAGGTGACAGTATTATTGAACAGAATGACTACACGTCCTGTTCCCCACTTTGCACTCAAACTGGCTGTCTGTCCACTCAGTTTGGTACAAAATGGTATGCCCATTGCTTTGAAGTCAGCTATGAGGCTTCAACCCAAAGTTCTTTTTTGTCACTGTTTAGGAGTGGTACATGTTTGAAGGAATCAGAAAATTTGGAATCTGAATGCTGACATGTCTCATGTAAATACAGGTTAAACAGCTTTTGCAGTGGTTTGTGAATAGGCTGAATTTTGGTGGGTGGATTTCTGCAAGGATGGCGAGGTCACCCTGCTGGGCTGCTGTACTCCTCTGGGACCTATTTTACGGTGTGCCTATTAGATAACACCAATATTCAAAATTCCAAGAAGAGAAATCCCACTAAGCTTTTGAGCAGTTCTTTATTTACATTATATAAATGTATATTTAGGTGCTATTATTTTCTCTAATATGTGCAGCTAAATAACTGTCATTGTTTCTATTTATGTTTTTGTTTATCTGGTAGAAAAGAGTGGTGGAACAGCTTCGAAAGAATTTGATAGTGAAGCAGGAACAGCCAGACAGTAAGTTTCAAATACAGCCATTGGCACAGTCAGAAAACAAACTACAGACACCACAGCCGCAACCACTACAACAGCTACAGCAACATCACCATCAACAGCAGCAGCAGTCCACTGCACCCTCTCCAAACGTGATAGGATCACAGGTAAAAAGCCATGATAATTCTTTTCCCTGCTAACGGTGAAGTTCGCTAAAAATGAAAAGAAAAAAAAAAAAAAAGGAAAAGTGCAGAGAGAAAACTGCAAAGTTTTACTTACTCTTGTTAATGTACCAGTATGAATTTCTTCTTCTATGCATATGCAGTTATGGGTCTTGTGGGGTTTTTCTGCAGTAACCTCCTGAGTCAAAAAAATTGTGTCATTTTTAAAAGTTGAATCATAACCTCACAGAAAAGAAGGGTGGCAGTATCACCTTCCTAAAGTAAGTGAAAGTTTAGTAAATGAACCTGTCTTTTCCACAGTTGGATGAATGATTGTCAAACCCTACCCAGTAGGTGCACACTGTATGAGGTGTATGACTAAAGTCCTTTATTTTTAAAAGATGAACAGAATGCCCACTGGATCTGTGAATAAAATGTAAGAAAACAGTTCCCTCTTCTTTCTGTTTTGTTCTTATTTTTAAGGATTTGTCTGAGAGTGTAAATGGTTAATTGAATAGTTAAAGTTTTAGAAAGTAGTATCTTTATTGTAAGGTAAAATAAATTTCAGTACAATATAGGATTAGAGACATAATCCCGTAATTCAAAAGAGAAAGTGGTCCCCTTTCACTGAGAGGGGATTTTCAAGTTTCTCCTGTTCAAATATTTAAAATCCCAAAAGTGTGCTAATAAAACAGCTAGAAATTGCAGGGAGGTGTTCTGTAACAGGAAGTGTATGTGAGATCTTTTTTTCCTGTTGATGCAGTCTTAGGAGTTCATGTTTACCCAGGATAGGCAGATGGTAGAATTCACCCGTGAAGTTTACTTTATGCACATTGCAGTGAATCACACCCACAGCTTTGACCAGTTGGGATTCTCATTTTCCCTTTTCCTGAAAGCAGAGGAGGGAGAAATGGTTGGACTGTTAGTTCTCTCTTTAACTCAGCAAGTTGGTTTGAATGCACTCTAAAATGTATTTGTGAGTCTTAGCTAGTTGTATTTTTGAGAAAAGAATACTGAAGTAATGAAGCAAATTTAACTTAAGGAAAAGGCATTTCTAATCAGCAACAGCAATATCTAAAGCTAAAACAGAACAAAGAAGTAAATATTACTGTGTCCTGAAATATTTCTAGGCAAACAACAGATCACTCTTAGCTGTATCACTGATCCCTGTTTTTCAGTCAAGAAACATGACAGCAAATGCAGTTTCATGTGTTTCTCTGTATTCCACACTTTGCATTCATGCATTAACTTCCAGGTCATCTCCTGGGTTGTAAAAATTGAGGGTTTGTTCAAAGTTAAAGAGCCCTCTAGCGAAACAGTCCAAAAACTGCTACATCCTTCTGACTACCATTGGTACAGTAGTACTTGGAAAGTAATTACAAATTGAAAGGCAGGTTGTCCTGTCACTTAGATAAATAAGCCAGCTTTTATTCTTAACACTTTTGTATCTTTGTTTATATTGGTAAAATTCTGAAGTACCCCCACTTGTTTCTGCAAACATTTTGCATCTGAGCTTGTGCCTCTGTCTTGTTACCTCTCAATCTTTTTCAGCAAAGAAAGGTCAAATATTTTGTCTCTCTAGAGAAAGTTTTTTGGTGCCTACTTTTGTAGGTAACACATTTTTCAAGACTATGTCATTAAAGAGAATCCTTTCAATTATTATTTTCAGAATAATCAAATTTATGAATTTGCCATCTTAACAGTGACATTTTAATATACTTAATATAGTTCAGTAAGAAGGGCTTTTAAAATTTTCATAAAGCAAAAAGCCTGCTAAGGAGGTCATATTATTACAATATTATGTGAAATAATGGAGGCTGACTATGAATGCCACTTCAGTATGAATTCATGCATTGACTACTTTTTAGAATAACCAAGGTAATTAATACTCAGCAGAGTAACAAGAATATTCAAGTTCTGTGATCTTGTGACTGGAACTATACTCTGAGTACTTAGAGGTTTAATAGAAGCCCTTGAAAGAGTCAGTCTTGTATCACGATTGATTACACCATTCTTTAAAATGTTTATGGTTGAATGTAATGCTTGTGAAAATGACACTATGTTACATCTCACTGGAAAAGCTTGAATAATGTTACTGCATTGTAGGAATGGAGCCTCTTGCTTTGGAGAAGGTTGCAGCAGAAGTCTATAGGAAGCCCTTAGATTTCAGATAAAAAGTTAAGGGAGTTGTTCATGTTGCAGCAAGGAAAATTTAATTATGTCTAGATTTTTTATAAGTTTATAAAGCTGAAAAATAAATTATCCTTTAATTTTGCATTACACAGTGATTTCTTTTCGTACTTGGGCATAATTAACAGTTATAGGATATAGTTTAAGTATTATTAAATTAGAGGTGTGAAGGTAAACTGTATTTTTGTTTAAGGAAACAATATTAGTGAAAATACTGAGGAATCCAACTGGAAATATTTTATTAGAAAGAAGAGAATGATCTTGTGTGATTAAAATCAAGCAGGCATGTTCAGAACACGAACAAGACTGCCTGATCCCTGGTTTGCCATCTCTTCCTCTGTAGAGCACAGACATCAGGAGAGAATAGTGATTACTTAGTACCAAGAGCATTTGATCATTCTAGTAACTGTTTTGAAGATGCAGTGCAAATAGAGTTTTACACCAAAGAGAAAAGAAATAAGATCATTTGCCATTCTGTCGAGTGTCACTTATCATGAGTTTTCTGTTCGCATTGTGTTCTGGTTTAAATGGAGACTCTCACCTTCTTGCTTTTTGAATGAGATTTGTAATGTCTGTTTTCCTTAGCATCTTAGAAGATAGTACATTTTAAAACAAAATGATGAAATACTGGTAGTTTTAACTTTGGAATTTGTGGGCATAATGTATTGAGGCATTTCAGATAAACGCGATTCAAACCCACTCCTTTTAAAACAGGCCAAGAGCAGTCTCAGTGTCACATATATGTTTCAAAACAAGCCCATTCCACAGAAGTTAAGCTTAATTCCCTGTAGCTGGACTGAATAACAGACAACTCTTACAACTTCAGGACAGCCCTACCAACACTCTTAGAAAAGAAGGTTCAGTGCTAGATAATTGTATGTATGGCTAAAATTGAGATTGGGATGCCCCAAATAAAAATATATCTTTGTTTTTAAAGATACCAATTTATGAATGTTTTTCCTCTCTTCCTCTGATTATGAAGATCACTGTAACTAAAGTTTCCATTTGAAAATTAGGAGTTTTACTTGGTGAGAAGCTGATTTGCTTGTATGTTCCATAAACTTCCACCTTATAGGTTTGATATTGACAGTGAATGTTTGGAAGTAACGTGAAACTAAAAGATCCAAAATGCATATGCCACTAACACTTAACTGTAATTTTCTCAGGAATTTGTTTTGAATCAATCTGCATTGCTACAGATGATTAAACCAAGCAGATGATTAGACCAAGCAGGTGCCTCAAATGAGAATGCTTTCTAGCTATCCAGTTTTCAGAGGTGTAAGATAATGTTCTTGTCAGAACAGCAGGTAGATGGGCTCAGTGCTGCCTTTTCTTTCTCACACTGTCTATTGTTTCTGACTAACCAACCCACATCCTGTCTGATGCGGAGTGTCTCTGTCTCTTACAGTGTGTTTTCTGTTTCCCTTAGAAAACTGTAACTACAGCTTCTATGATCACCACTAAGACACTACCTCTCGTCTTGAAAGCAGCAACTGCGACCATGCCTGCCTCTGTTGTGGGTCAGAGACCTACCATTGCCATGGTTACTGCTATCAACAACAATCAGAAAGCAGTCCTCAGCACTGATGCGCAGAATGCACCAGTCAACCTCCAGACAACAAATAAGGTCACTGGGCCAGGAGCTGAGGCAGTCCAAATAGTGACAAAAAACACAGTAACTTTGGTAAGCATTTCATGTGTTTGCCCTGCAGATATGTGTGGGTTTGGTTAACAAGAGGACTAGCGGAAAAAAATAAACACTCACGTTTTTGCATAGAAAGGAGGACAGTAGGAACATGTTGCGAGTCTTCATTAGTTAATATCATTAAAATCATAGTCTACAAGAAAAAAATTTACTTTCCACATGGGAGAGTTTTGTTTGGGAGAATACTGTTTTGCTTTATAGAATTAAATCAGTGCTGTCATCACCTGTGTAAAGTTTCCCGTTAGTAATTTTTAGTCATGGAGCAGCAGTGATTGCTTTGCCCTTATCTAACCTATGTGGCTGTGTTCTGCAAAATTCCTGCTCTTCTCTTTGGTAAAGTAGATGTCAGACTTTCTTAATTTGATCAGTTTGGGTTTATATCCTAATTTTTTTTTGGAGTCAATCTTGGTCTGGAAACCGGGCATTGTATACCATCGTGACAGGGAAATTTTACTTCTGAAGTAAGGGCTATGGCTTCACTAAACATAAAACCAATTTATCCTTACTGAAAAATACAGTTTAATAGTGAAAATGGAAAATTTTGCTTCCTAATGAGGCATATGTTTGTGATCAGAATAGAGAAGACTATTTGAGTGGAGTTTTTTCTACTGTTCTCTTTTCCTATGTCATCCCTTGCACCACTCTCATCTGTCCTTTGTGTCTGTGCTTCATTTCTTTGCTGAGTAACTCATTTAGGTTTGAGGAGATGATTCTGTTTTAATAATAGGCTATGATCTGTGTTTCTGTAGCAAATTTCATCAGAAATACCAGAATATTTTCTCAAGCATTAATTAATCAGTACAAGATCTTTTTGAAGAAAATTCCAATCTTATGTAGGTGGACAGAAGTACAGATGGGTGTAAACTAACATGAACATTGATTTCAGAGAATCTCCCCAGGTACTCAGGGTAGCTTGTGGTGCTGTTCAGTGGTTAATCACATGGCAGCTCCATGCAGCTGATTTCAGTTAGACAGGGAAGTATTTAGGAATCTTTAACATCGGATCTTAACTGCTTCAAAAGAATGACCTACAATTGAAAATTTCAAGTTGTGTATTTAGAACCCCTCATAGTGCCATTAATATTGCCAAAAAAATTGTAACTTCCACATCTCTACTATTTGAATGAGATGCTCTCTTCTTCTTCTGCATGCCATGCACTATGAAAGGACCCTGGTTCATAGCTGGACATCAAAGTCTGTTACTATTTCCTGTCTGTTGTAAAGTCAATTTTTAATGATTAAAACAAATAGGAGTTTTTATTATCTTCAAATGAAATGGTTTTAGATTGCAAAACACAGTAATTAGTACAGTTGAACTAAAAGGAAAGATGCTTGCAATTTATGAAGCAAGATGTGTAGGAACTAGAACATAAGATTACCTGTCTTTAATATATTTCTAATGAGAACCTGTTTACAGAGTAGAAAACCAAGGACATCAGATCTGAAAATGCATTCAGGAGGTTGATTTTGGTGAACAACTTCAAAGCTAATTTCCTCTTACTGAACTGTCTTATGTTCTTATAGCAGGTTCAGGCTACGCCTCAGCCCATAAAAGTGCCGCAGTTCATCCCTCCTCCCAGACTTACTCCTCGTCCAAATTTTCTTCCGCAGGTGAGTATACAGAGAACAAACAATAGAGGAGAGAAATTATAGCATAGATAGAAGATACTTCTGACCAACACTGTGTCAGTGTTTATTGGACCTACTGGAGGTTTGGGGATGATGCCAAATTGGAGGGTGCAGTCAATACTCTTGAGGGCAGTGCTGACATTCAGAGAGCCTTTGACAGGACAGAAGAATGAGCATCAGGAATCTCTTGAGCTTCAGCATGGAAAAAGGCAAAGTCTGGCAGACTAAGGCCCTGCACAGGTGCAGGCTGAGGACTGACTGGCTGGGGAGCAGCACAGCTTAAAAGGTCTTGGTTGACAGTAGCTAAACTAGTGGTGTGCCCTAACAGCAAAGAAGCCTAGCAGCATACTGGGCTTTACCAACAGGACCACAGGCATTCAATTAAGTGAAGAGATTATCCACCTTTCCTCAGTAATCACAAAACTGCGTCTGATGAACAGCATGCAGTTTTGGAACCCCTGGTTGACAAATCTGAATGAAGCACAGGAATATGTGAGTTGTAGAGCAGGGCTGAGGGATCTGGGCTTGTACAGTTTGGGGAAGAGGCTTTGGAGGCACCCTAACAGCAGCATTGTTTCCAGTATCAGTAAGGAGATAAACCAGAAGATGGAGGCATAGGTGCTTGGCAGGAGAATTAGAGGAAGTGGTCATAACTTGGAACAGGGGAGATTTAGACTTTATATAAGGAAACAGTTCTCTCATTGAGGACAATTAGGAGCAGAAGAGGCTTCCCAGATGTGTTGTGGAAGTTCCATCCTCGAAATTTTATAAGACCTATCTGGACAAAGTCCTGAGCAACCTGATCTGCATTTAGTGTTGGCCCTGCCCTGAGCAGGAGGTCAAATTAAGAGACCTCCTGAGCTGCCTCCCAGCCTGTATGAGTTTGTGATTATGAAATTCGCATATGATGGTTATATATGATCTTATTTGCATCAGATGGAATGAACCCATGGAACAGGTGTCAACAAAATCAAAGCATCGCCTAAGGACTTAAATTGCTGTAATTGTTTGCCGCTCATGAGTGAAAAAGGAAAAACGAGATGTCTCTAGATTGTTCCCGAATATTTCTATGTTTCAATAGAATGACCTCTGTTGAAGCTGAGCACTAAAATGTGTGGTTTACTTTATTTTTGGTTTGGGAAAGGCACAGATTTCTTCTTTACTTAAAAAAAATCGTGGAGAAACTATTTCATTTGTAAGAAGTATGTGGTGCTGTGAATGAAAGTCTAAATCTTTTGCAAAATGAAAAAGAAAAGTGTAGGCTGATATCTGATTAAGATTTGGGAATGGTGAGATCTGTTGGAATGTGACCTAGTTTTCCATGGTAAAATGCTTTATGGAGTATTAAAGGTGGATAGGACAATAGAAATCAAATAAGGGAAAGAAAAGCTTAATTTTCAAAGTAATGTGTTCTACTTCTGTACTCTGTAATGATATGATAAACTTAATATGCACAAGAAATAAGCAAGTATTGGTGATGGAGATGGGGAAGATTCTTGTGGCTCTTTTCATGTGAAAGAAGAGAAATGACTGTATTTATCTGTAGCCTTTAGTACTTTCTATGAGGGATTAATGTATAATCTTGTCAATTTTTTTGCTTCACAAGATTGATTGTACAGGTGTCTAAATAAATATATAGGGTTGACAAAGGTAAGAGGTATTTACTGAAAAAAAAATATTTCAGGACACAATCAACTGTTCATAACTTCTTGGAGGTTCAGTAAAAAGCCCTGAAACACACTTTTAACATGAGCGCCTCAGCTATGCCTGTAAATATTACATGGGTGTTTGGGCTTGCAAAACCGAGATATTAATTTAGATGCAGTTAAGGCACTTGGCAATAAACTTTCAATATAAGTGTCTGTGCATCCAAATACCATTTCAGGGACAGTGACTGCATATGCAAATGTTATGGATGGGGTTTATGTAAGTAGGCTTGAAAATATGTTTTTTTTTTTTCCTCATAGCATACTTAGGGCGCTATGCTAAAAATTACATTATCTAAAAAATCAACCAACCTCCTGCAGATTATACAAGCTGAATTGAAAGACTTAGTAAAAAAGTTAATCTGAAATACTGATATTCAAATCCCTCTCTTTTTTTATTTCTTTCGTCTTATATTTTTGCAGGTTCGACCTAAACCAGTTGCCCAAAATAACATTCCTATTGCCCCTGCACCTCCTCCAATGCTTGCAGCTCCTCAGCTTATTCAGAGGCCTGTGATGTTGACAACGAAGTTCACACCCACCTCTTTACCCAACTCGCAGAACTCCATACATCCAGTTCGTGTAGTTAACGGGCAGACAGCAACCATAGCCAAAACTTTCCCTATGGCACAGCTCACCAGCATTGTGATAGCAGCACCGGGTACCAGGCTTGCTGGACCTCAGACTGTACAGATCAGCAAACCAAACGTTGAAAAACAGGTACGGATAAAGTGCCTACTAATGCAAGATACTGGACTTACTGCTGTACTGTGCAGGTTTGGAGAGGATGACAACCAGGGAGAAATTTTCAGTGGGTACCAGAGAGACTCATGTTCCAGTGACAGTACAAATTGTGAAATGACTTGCAACTTTTGGGGTAGAAGTTACCATTTCCTTTAATATGGGCCATGGCACCTTTTTCTCCTGCTTCAGTGTTTTATGCTCCCCCTACTGTTTTAACTTCAGTAGTTTGTAAGCAGACTGCATTGTGGGGTTTGACTCGTATCTTGGAGAACAAGTACCCATGTTCATGTCAAGCCCTTTTGTTTTGCAAAGGGTGGCGATGTGAAAGGTAAAATTTGCACAAAACTGTAGGAGTATTTAATATGATAAATTCAGCCATTTCTTCCTTGATCCCTTTGTCTTGTGACTGGAGGCAAAATAGTCTCACTCAGCTTCTGAGGTCTGACAGTTGGATTGATCGAGTGGAAGGAAGACCCTCAGAAACAGAGAATTCTGGATGTTTAGTTTTAAAGTCTCTCTCCAGACAAGACTTCTGTAAAATAACACATCAGTCAGTGTGGATTGCAGCTGAGAGTTCTTACCATTCAGTTCAAGTAAAGCAATATTCTGTTTCACTTTTAACTCTTATATATTGTATAATAATAAGAGTATATTTTATACTATATTACACACTATAACATACAATATTTATGTTATTTATATAGATAATAGTAGTATCTATGTAACTTACAACTCTTTCATGGACTAATGTGCCTTGAAGTTACTTTCTTTCTGCTTTTGAAATCACAGAGACTATGAAAATCATGGGCATGAGAGATATGCTCATGGTCAGTTCTGCTTATGAAGTCTCAAGAGTAGGTTTCTTGCGTACCTCAGGGCTGTTCCACAAATTGCTCAGCAGTGTGTGCCCTTTTCGTGTGATTTAAAGTAGTACTTCTGCAGTACTTGACTTCTGATGCCTGTTCCTTTTGATGTCAGCAATATTTGTTTCCTCTTCGAATAAATTACTGGCAATTCAACTACTGAAATATGTAACAGAACAATGGTGGTGGTTCAATAATACATGAATTTTTCTGTGTATTTTCTCCATATCATAAAGGGGAAAAGTTTGTCTCTCTTTAGCTTTACCAAACTCAGTTTATAGCCTCAATAGCTATGCCATGGGCTGAGGACTGTCATGCAGAGGATTATGACTTGAGAAGAGGAAAATACTTCAGAAACATCTGAGATTGTAGGACTCAGAGACAGTTTTTTAGCCATTCATAATTCTATGTACTATAAATACTAAGGAGTGAGAAATACAAAATACATGTGCCACGCAGAATGGTTTCAACATGGAATTCTTCCACAGGATGAGTTGTCTTGAAGTGTCTCTTAGTTTTCCCGTACCTTATAGTCATTTCTGTAGCAAAGTTAACTCTTTAAGATGACTGTTATTTTTGCTTGGCTTGTGGATTAATGGAATTGTGGCAAGGCTGTTTCATCCTTTGTTAGATGAAAACACTTTATTTCATTCCTCTCACGTCAGATTCTTCAATTAAGTCTTTGTTAGTACACTACCGGGTACAAACATTTTTCTCTGTATCTGCGAAAGTATTTGTTTTGCTTTAATAGTCAAAGTGAAAAAAGTTCTTATCACTGAGTGAGAGAAACACTGTTTCTTTTCAGACTATTAAACCACATGTGGAAACAGAAGAGAAGCAAACGGAAAGTCGTACGGTTACTCCACCTGCTGCACCGAAGCCAAAACGAGAAGAAAATCCACAGGTAACAGAAAACACCCAGAGCTTTCTTTTAAGAAAAAAAAAAAGGACATTCAGTCCTTCAGAAAATATTTTTCTCCTCTGTTCCCTCCAGACTCCTTAACTTTAACATTCCATACATTCCTGTTGGGCAGCAGTAGTTGATAAGGCTACAGAATAAGAAATCTAAATACGTATAGTGCATTGCATTTTTCAGTTCTGGAATGCATTTGACTTCTACATCTTTTGTAAGTTAGAAGATAATAATTTCTTTGTGATACTTCCTTCACAGGGGTTTAGGTTACAGTGTTGATTTCCGTTCCTTTGAAGTTTTAGGTTCTGGAGTTATTCTTGATGCTGAAGAAATGTCTTTGTTTTACTTTAGAAAATATTTCTGCTCTGGTAAGCAGGATGGAAAGAGCCATGTATATTCACATTCTGCTTGGGTTTTAGTCCAGTTTAGTTTGGGGTGAAAGAGTGGCTAAAATAGCTGTTTTCTTACAACCTTTCTGCCATGCAGAGCTATAAAACTGACTGCAGCTAAATGCTCTACTTCATTTGTTTCTGTAGATGGATTCAACTACTGTATGAGCACTTATTACTGTCAGTACAAATTCTGATTTTAAACCTGTTCATTTCCTCCATTAAAATTAGAATCCTTTAAGAACGCCATAGCCCTTATCAAACAGCAAATGCAAGCCAGAATTGTTCCTTGTAGTTCACAATAGATGGAGAATGATCTTAAACTAGCAATATTTTTCTGGCAATTGAACTGTGTTGGTATTTACTGAGAGTCAATCACACAGTCGCTTCAGTGCTGGACTGGAAGTAAAGACACTGCTTTCTTGCTCCCATTTCTGGGATCATGAGCCAACTGTGGGATCATGAGCAATTGGCATTTCCTTGTATCTCAGTCTAGGTTCCCGTCTAGAAAATGGGGCTGTTGTCTATTCTTTCTGAAACAGTTTGACATACATGAATGAAAAGTGATTTATAGAAGCAAAGTATTACTAAAAATATTTTTGTTGCTTAGTTACCTGTCAACTGCCTTTAAAGGGCCAAATGACATAACTTATCCTAACAGTTGGACTTTTAATGATCTTTTTTCTCCCCCCTCACAGAAACTTGCCTTCATGGTGTCTCTGGGACTAGTTACTCATGACCACCTGGAAGGTAGGAAAAATGTCTTAGGTTGGTTCTTGCATTCCCTGTTTCATGTTCATTCTGAATTGGAAGTAGGGTTCCAAAATATTTTTATATTAAATGAAGTATTTTCGTGCACAGTAATACCTTTGGGATGTCTGTACTCTTGATCTAAATTAGTTTGTTGTTCATACTTTTTTATTCTTCTTATTACATTGAAACAAGGCAGTTACTTATACAGTGGAGGTGAGTGGTTGGGAAGAAAGTGTATGCTCTGGTAGTAGGAAGAAATCAATGGCAGTATTGGGCAGCTATTGCTTTCTGGACAACCCCTGTATCTGCAAAGATACACCGTGGGTAATTTTACTGTAACCTACATCTGGATTTTTCATTTATTTCATGATTTCATGAGGTCGCAATTTGTAATGAACAAGTTAATGGATTATAATTGGTTTTATAATTTAAACATCTAATCCTATACAGTGAAAGACAGTCTGTAATTTCAATGGCTTGCATATTTCTTTACTGTATTTTTAAGTATCAGCAAGATTACTAGAGGCTTTTTGTTTTAGATCCCAGTTACGCTGACCATGAGTTTAAAAGTCTCAGTCGTAGACTACTTGGCAAGAAGATGGCAATCACTTATTAGTTGTTTGAGCATTGTATTTGTATTCCTTGTCAGCTCTTAGTTTTCAAACTTTCAGAAATTAGAAGTATAGCACAGTTGCTGATATTGGGCATGATTGATGTTCTGTAGAAATCTTTACACTTCTCCTCACATGCAAACTGAATTCTGAGGACTATATATAATTTCTGAGATCTGTTTTCTAACCTGAATGCTTTGTTTTACAAGAAATCCAAAGTAAGCGACAAGAGAGGAAAAGAAGAACAACAGCAAATCCAGTGTACAGTGGAGCTGTTTTTGAGCCTGAGGTATTAATTTTTTGCTGGGGGAAGCTAGTATTTTCATTCTGATCTTCTGTGTCTTTCTGCGATGTTGCTGCCTCCTAAGCTATCTCAGTCCTAACTAGACTGGCAAGCTATTATTTATAGTTCCAAAGGCCATTGCAGTGACATGACCCTTGAATTTTTAAATAGTAAATACATTGGGGTGTTTTGCTAATACTTTTGTCTTTTTCTGCCTTCTCCTATGTAAAGCTCATGTTAAATGGCAATATGTATTGGTCAGCTTATGTGTCAGCCTGAAGCAGTCCAGATGTCAGAGGCAGTGTAAAAAAAGCCAGTCTTTCTGAAGCTGTGCTTCAGAAAACAAAAAAAAGCCAGGAATCTCACTGTGGTGTTCCTCAGCTAGTGCATATAGTTTTTCCAAAAATGTTGGCCAGCAAAAATTGTTATATTCTTCCCTGCAGCGCAAGAAGAGTACAGTCACGTACCTGAACAGCACAATGCATCCTGGGACACGTAAAAGAGGTGAGGTATACTTAGACCTGTCTCCCTGCTGTATGCACCCTCCTCCATATTGCATTTGTAGTCCCCTTGCTGATTTGAAGAGAAAAACAAGAAGGATTCTACAGTACTTCATTTGTCCAGTAAATTTCCGTGGTAGACAAAGACCATGACTTCTAGGGATTAGAATAGCAAGTTTTAATACACAGTTCAATGTTTCCTTTCTGTTTCACTCTCCAAAAAAAAAATTCGCTAGATATAGCAAAAGTGAAAGGTGTTTGAACATCATTTAGTGGTATGAAGCTGCTGTCAAGATCCTGTTTCTAATGACTAGATTGTATTGTTACTGTCAAGGAGAAGGTGGTTATGGAAAAAGCGTCTGTGCCCTGAGTAGGAGAGGAAACTTAGTGTGACAAAAGCCTTGTTCCCCACTGGGAATAGAGATGGGTCCTTGAAAAGAACTTATTTTGAGCAAGAAAAGCTACCATGCTTGTACTAAGCACTTTTCTGCAACCAGAGTGCCACTTGTCCTAAAGTGAGAGGTGATCTTTCATATACGTATGCAGTATTATTCGGAAGAAATCCTTCTGTAGAATAGGGGAAATTTTAATACTTAGATTATGGTGAAACAGGTGAGTCAGAACAGTACAGAAGAGAACATGATACCATTTTTTGTGCATGGCATTGACCACACTTACATGATAATCTTTACCTAATTTCTGATGATTTTCTGCAGTCCTTGAAGACTGATAATACCTTCTCTACTCCTGAGTTTGCTGTCTAAAAAAAGTAATCAATCAAATAAAAAAACCCCAAACAAACAGTCCCACCTAGCGCTGACCAGTTCCATTATCTTTTGGGCTTTTTGGCTGCAAGATCAAATATTCATTTGACATGTGCTCTTCTTGATATACCTTTTCAGTCCAGCGGGCAATGTGGCAAAGCTGGCACTTCTGCAGCTATGCTGTTTTTAAATAAAAGACATCTCTCCTGCTATCCTCTAATACAATAAATGTATTTTTCAAAATTATATGATGTAGATTTTATAGAGAGAGTTTTGCATTTACTCTGTGGATTAATGTTTCTTCTTATGGTAATTATTTCTTTATTTTAGAACTCATTGTGAACAGTTATTGTATCAATGGAAATGATTGCATGCTTTTGTACTCGATACTCTCTTATCCTGTTTTTGCAACTGACTATTAAACTTTCTGATTTTTTCCTCACACTCTGTTGTGAGCCTGTACCTTGCATCAGCACCAAATTAGTAGCATACATTTTCAATTGACAAAAGATTTGGAAGTATACATTTGTTTTGTAATTTAATATAGCAATATATTGAGTGAAAAGCTTTTGTGAGCGTGTGCCCTTGAGAGCTTTAGTTTAATTCTAGATGGTGCTGAGCATGTCAGAAATTTCAGCCATGGACATCACTGTCAGAAATCCGTTTCCAAGGACGTACTTAGTTCTGGAACATATCCAGACCTTAAATGCAAGGCTTAGCATGTTAATAGGTATAGACTGAAAATCTGTAAACATAAGATCGGGGGAATTATTCCTAGATCCTAACTCCCTTATGTTTACATATCCATAAATTACCCTGGAGAAGGGAGGCAGAAATGATGGTTACCTACTGGTTTTTTTGCTGTCTTGCTTTGCATTCATAATTTTGTAAAAATTGTTCTGAACACACTTTGCACATCTGCTAGTCTAAAGGAGCATTTAGGAGTTGCACATAACCAAACATCCTTGACTGAGAAAGTCTAAGAAAGAACACAGAATTTGGAGGATGTTGCAGTGGACAGGTTAAAACTGGTAGTAGTTATGGGTCAGACAACAAGACCTGTTCTTGAGGTAGCCTAATTTTAAAAATGCACCAGTAGGGTAGAAAGTGCTGATCTGTGGATTAGTGGGTTTTAAAAAAGGGGAAGAAAAGTAGGGGGTTGGTGAGTGTTGGCCTCTGATATAGGACTTAACCTTTGTGTAGATTTATCCTGGCACTAGAAAGATAGGGAGGTGTGGGATAACACTAGAAAAGATTTAATAGTAGTTATTGTCACTTCTCTCTAGCTTTGATGCCAACATGTTTCCCCTCAAAACTGAACAGCCTCATTTCTAGGAGTGGCAAGTGCCCCCATGCTGCTTTTGTGGGAATGATTCTTTGACCCTCTACAAAGCTTATTTCTATTTCCTTCTGAAATACATCTTTTAAGTGTTCTTTCCTTGCAAAATTCTACTTAAAGATTTCTAAAAATGTTTAAATCTTTGCTTCTGTCCTTCCACTTGTAACTTTTATATTAACTTCCTCTCTGTGCTACATCATTTCCTTTTTCACGCTAGCCAATGAGGACCACTGGCCAAAGGTATGTAAGATCATTTTTCCTTTCTTTTTTTTTTGTTTGTTTGTTTGTGTTCCCTGTTGTTAATATGTAGGTCGTCCACCTAAATACAACACGGTGTTGGGGTTTGGGGCTTTGATGCCCACGTCCCCTCTATCCAGTTATCCTGACTCCCCTGAAAATGAAAAGACAGAGACCACATTTACTTTTCCCGCAGCTGTTCAACCTGTGTCCCTGCCTAGCCCCAGCTCCACAGACGTAAGTAACTCTTGGGGAGGGGATTACTTTTAGAAAGTTATGCACAAACAGACAGAAGGAAAGTCATTGCAGATTTTGTTTCTTTAGTCTCACTCATCTTTTGTCCTGATACAGTGCAGTGAAACAGTCCATCATTTTTTTAGCACCCTTCTGTTTTCCTCCTGTACCTGTGTTGCAATCCCATAGAGATTTTATTTATAACTCCTTCAGTGGATTGAAACATTGGGAGGCACCAGGCATGCTAGATGAGCTCTTTTCTTTTGTGCAGTGTCTGAGATCTTGTCTGACTGAATTGAATCTGTCACCCGTGAAAAAGGGGTGGGGGGGGGGGAAAGAGGAGAATGAAAAGTATTAGTTACAGACCGTAATAACAAAAAAGTTATGTTTCTGTAACGAGAGAAGGAGGTGAACTGCTTCGTCATGCAGAATAGCCAGGAGTAGTTGCAGTATTTGCAGCACTGATTTGGCAGAAAGTGTGTTGTATTTGTTCAGTGTGGGTAAAAATGTTCTCAGGAGTTGTAGAGTACTTCAATTAAAGTGCTTACATTTTAATAACTCATATCTATGGGGCACAGTTTAAAAATCAAAAGGTGTTTGCTTATTTCTTCATACCAGTGCTGCAAACTCCTTCTGTGATCCTTTTTTAAAAAAAGACATTGTCACAACCATTTGAAACAGGCTTAAGGAAGAGTTGGATCATTTTGTTTTCATCTATATAGTTGCCCTGCTGTAAGTACGTAGACCGAGAGACCGACCCTACTGACCACGTAGAATGGGGGATAGAAGCCTCTTAACTGTATTTGTTCTGCAGAAGTAACAGGAGTAGAAATAGTACAAGTGCGTCTGAGGCACTGAAATAAATAGATGCAGCTCTGATACCCAGGGAATATGTATGTGAACTTAAAAGGTCCTCTTTTATATAGTAATTTTTGAGAGCAGGATAGCACTTGACTGTAAAAAGCCTTTCCTGACAGTCAAATGAATGGGACTGTGGAACAGCTCCTCAGGGATAAGGTGGGACAGCTCCCTCTCTGGGTACTTTAAAAAATAAGCAGTACAGATAACTTGCAAATATGCTGAAGAGCACTTATTTTACATTGGCCCCAAGAGAAGGACTGGATGATGCAGTGGGCATCTTTCCTATCTCTGACGTGTGTGTGTACTGCCCAGCCTTTTCCCACTGTGTAACAGATTTCAAAACAGTAGGTTGAGTTGTTGCCCTGTTTTTTGGCAGCAAGCTAAATCAAGAATAATGAATTTCTGTAGCACTCAAACCTAGTTCTGAATGCCCTTAATTTTATGGATTAGGATCATGTTTAGGCCTAGGTTCTGTATTTCTTTAATATTCATTAATTAATCAAAATTTAAGTGATTTAAAGGAGACAATAGAAGATTACACAGCAGATAATTAATGCTCTCTCCTACCAGAACTTACCATAATATAGCACAGTAACACTCTTTTGTCTTTAAAATTGTATATAAATCCCCTTCAGTGTTTTCAGAAAAGATATTTAGTTTATACATATGCAATAGGACTAACATTTTTAAAGGATTTAATTTTTTTAAAGAATTTTATACCAAAGTCCCATTCAATACATATTCACTATCAGTTGGGCTAATTTGGTAGACTTCTCAGAAATACTTGGTATTGAATTCTGCTTAAATCAGATATATTTAAAAGTAATTTTAGCACTTGAGTAATCTTTGTGTTTAGCCAACCTATGAAAATTGCAAATCAGGCCAAGCACTTTGCATCAGGCTCGATGGCCCAGAACAGCCTTCTTGAATTTCTCCTGAAATGTCATTCTCTGAATGACTGGGAGAAATTTTGAAGGGAGAATGAAGCAGAAACTTGAGATGGTTTGGTGGTAAGGATGGAGGGGTAGAAAGTAGGAATAGAACCTGGGAAAAGGAAGTAAGTAATGCAATAGGCCGGATTAAGGAAAACATTTTTTTTCCCTCTCTCTCTTTTTCTTTTTTTATTCCCTTTTTTCTGTTTGGCAGTTGTTTGTGAACCAGTTGGTTATGTATGGTTCTCCCTCATGCAGTAGTGGCATATTCACCAGGAAGATAGCAATTGCCTTTTGAAGGTCAATTACTCAGCAGTAAGAATTGTGCAAAAATCTCTATTCTAGTGATGGTTCAAGTCTGTGGTCACAAAATGCCTTTTCATTAGTAAACTCTAATATCAAAGCAACGTTTCAATTGAGAGGAGCATCGTGGAGCATTCAGACTGCAAAGTAAAGCCCATAAAAGTTAGCAAAGACCAGAATTATTATTCTTCTGATAATTAAATGCACTTACATCGTACACTCTGATCATCTTCATTTATATTGTCATGAAAAATTCCTGTAGCAGAATGTTTAGCTTTCCCACGTTGTTCCAGTGAAATGTATGCATAAGTATAGGCATTACAAATTCCAGCACAGAAAGTACATTTGATTGTTCAGTTCTGTTGCCTAAAACCATGTCCTGCTGCTCTAGACACTTCATAAAAACAAAGAAAACTGTTAGTTGTCCAGAAGGCTTTAATTTATTTTCCTGGTCCCATGATGAAGAGAAAGTAGAACAAAAAATGATGTTGAATCACCTTTTGTGGTGTCTCTTCTGAAATTATTCTTCAGTCACTTCAGCCTACCTCAGTGAGCTCTGCTCTAGCCGAAGTTGACTGCTTACAGCCTACACAGAGCTGATTCAGAAGCTGAGGTTAGCGGGATGCGCGTCACAACATCAAGTCCAGCACCTCTTCATGCATATATTTATTAACTGCCCATAAAACCTGGGGTGTTTCTTTGGAATCCAACAGTGGCTACCTTTTGGTAAGGACAGTTACTGGTTGTGAGGAAACGCCCTGAATTTTGCACTACCAAAAATAGGACTGTGAATTTCGTGCCTGTGTGTTGTCAACTCCGTGTGTTCAGCTGCACAGCACACTGATCAGCTGTATCACTACAGGTTTTGCAGCATTCAGTTGATTTTGGAATGTTCTGGGTCTAAATTTATAAATGTCTTCCCCTCAAAAAGAAACTGCATGTGTCTCTTTTATAGGTCTCTTTCTGCAGGGTATAACAGGTTTGGTTTTCAGCACAGCAATAATTTTGCACCTGAGCCAGATATCAAGAGCCATTGTGTAGTCTGTGGCAACCCAAGCATATGCAATTCTCTAGAACTTTTTTTTTCTAAAATGGGAAAATTTTCCTCTTAAATTTTCCCTTAGGTTGCAGAGGATTTTATTTTAGCTTGTATGACGTCTCCTGCCTGCCTTCCTTTCCTTATACTCGCAGAGGAAAAGAAGTTCTTCCCAGCCTGGTTACGCATACCACTTCACAAGAAGCATGAAGTGTCACCCATTTAGTTCTTCATTTAACACTGAGGAACTCCTTGGTGTTAAAGGATGAAGTAGTACCATTACTCAGCTCTCAGTGATCCCTGGGAGTTATGGATCCAAAGCATGGCACTGAAAAATCACTCAAGACTGATCCTTTACAAAACATCAAATCACTGTTAACCTTGGGGATTATGAGAAGAATAGCCTTCCCTATGAAGAATTGCCTCATGAGCGAGAGAGCTGGGAAGTAGAAACCTGAGCAGGTTGCTTGTGTGTCATTCTTCTAACGTGTATTATTTTATCCGTAGCGGAGATTAGTGTAATTTTTTTTGACTGGCAACTTAATGTGTAAGTTCATGGCCAAATCTGCCATCCCTCCAAATTGATAGAACTTATTCACACCTGAAAAGACAATATGCATCAAAATGAAACCTTGCACATGTTGATATTTCATATAGGGGGAGCATATACCCACAGTTCCACTCAACGCAGATGTCTTAAGATCTCAGTCTTGCAGATATGGTGTGTGTGTGAAACTTCATTGTAAGTCAGTGAGAAGTTTGTATTTCAGACTCCAGGTAGGGCCTTGAATATGTGGAGTTTCCAGGTCATGAGAGGAGAGGGCTGGGTGCCCCTTGCCTCCAGTATGAATGCTGAGTCACCTTTTTTTCATGCCTCTTTGTTCCAATATCCTAAAAACAAAGAAGAGCAAACAGAAACACCACCACTGTTCCTAGCATGAGATGGCAATAACAGTAGGGGAGAGAGAGAAGAAAAAGTGACAAAAATCAGACCTGGGATGTTAATGGCTATAGAAAAAAATTCTCTCTGATGGTGAAGCAATAGTAACTAAACCTAGTTGTTTTAAAAGACACTGCCAGTCATGTTTTTAATTATTTCTTTTTTTTAAAAAAACTTAGTTAGAATATCCCTCTTGGTACTCTTTCATCCTCGCTCTCACCCTTTGTTAGTGATGAAACAAACCACTCTCTACTGAGAATGAGAAAGTTTCGACACGCAGCTTTTTTGGTGCAACTTGAGGTAGCCTAAGTGAACTAAAAAGAATTGTCACAGAACATAATTAATTCTGTTCTTTTTCATTTACAAGCACAACCCCTTTTCCTTACAGTTTCATTTTTAAAGGTGACCTAAATATTTGACAGTGCTCTTTTAAGTCACTCGAGGTTTCTTACATACCATTAGTGGCAAAAGACAGCCTCATCAGCATTCCTAGAGTGGAGTTGGGCTTACATCCAGAAATGAGGAGGGTTAAGAAAGTGGGTAGCTCATCAGTTCAGGCAAATAAAAAGCAGGGTAAAGTGGGAATTTTAAAGAAGAAAGGCTATGGGGTAGCAGTTGTTAAGAGAAGCTATGATAATAAGTATTTGCTGTACCATTTTGCCTCTGGAGGACAGAGGGAGTGTTTGGGAGGACAGATGTTAGTGACATGCTGCCTGGTTTTCCTGTTTCACAGACTAAAAGGGGCTTTACCTTTTGGAATCCGCTTAGAAGTAGACTGTGCTGTAAACTTTCAATTAATCTAGGATGTAGATGTCAAAGGCCAAAGTTCACTTTTTGCCTTTTCTCTCTCTCTCTCTCTTTCTCTCACCTACACCCTTTCCCCTCAATTTTGTAGGGTGATATCCATGAGGATTTTTGCAGTGTTTGCAGAAAAAGCGGGCAGTTGCTGATGTGTGACACATGTTCACGTGTTTATCACCTGGACTGCCTGGACCCGCCTCTGAAAACCATTCCCAAGGGCATGTGGATCTGTCCCAAATGTCAAGACCAGGTATTGTTTGACAGACACGGGGAGTTATATACAATGCACTGTGAAGATTTTTCTGTGTTAAAGAAAATGACCAGATTGCTTGGATTACTTAGACCAAGACAGTCTGACAGTGAACAAATCTATCTGATCTATAATAAGGCTTGTGTGAAATGAATTGAATTACCTCTGTTGGAATACATGCAAATACAAAACTGTTAGGTCTTGCTCCCAAATTTGGAGTCTTTATTTGTTACCCTTGTGCTTTTACTTTTTCTGGGCCGAAGCGTGCAGACTTCTGGGAAAGATTATCCCCAACTGATATGTCTATCTTTCTACCCATAGAAATTTTGCTGTTCATCTTAAGTTCATTGCTTCTTCAGAAGTTATTAGTATATTCTTCTGGACAGAAAAAATAACACATTTACACAAGCCTACCTCAATAGATAGAGCAAATATAAGCCCCTGTTTGCTCATATAAATCAAACATCAGAGAGATTGTCTTCAGTGATCTCTTTAATAATATCATCCAACATCAGTATAATGAGGATAGGTGAACAGTTTGATGGTTCTTCCTTGCAGATCTCTCTCTGAAAATACACAACTGAAGTGAACAGATTATATTTTAATATTTTGTTCATAATTGCATTGAGATTACAGGACAAAGAAGTAAACTATTGTATTCCTAACCCTTCCATGGAACTCCAGAATTTGCAAAGGATTGCTGATAATGAAAAGCCTGAAGCTGTTAGTGTTCTGTCTAACACAGCATACTGCTTGGTCACCCACATAACCTTTGGTTAGCCAGGTGGTGATGTGAGAAAACAGCCTGACATACGATGTGCTGCTCAGAAATCCAAAATTCAAGTGACTTGATCAGTAGTTGCCAGAAAGGAGGGACTGTGACTACTTCCCTTTATTCCTGCTCTTGCCTACTTTGACCTTACCCCTCCTATTCATGTTTCTGTAATAGGTTCCCACAAAGCAGGGCAGGAAATCTGAGTAATTTCACTCTAAACTGACCGAGTCCTCTGTCTTCTGAGGCACCACTCTGATCAGTTATTAAAAAATATATGTCTTTCCTCTCAAAATGAAGTTTGTTAGGAAGCAAAATGTAGGAAGGATCTGAAAGACATATATGGTACTTACCCTTTTAAAGACAGTTTGACAACTCTATTAAGATGATTCTGATAAGAAGGGGAGATAGGACGATTTCATGTTTGATGTTTGAATGTATGGTGTGGAGACTGTTCTATGGCGTGAAAACTTTTCTCCGAAAACAACTAAGATCAGCAATTTGTCTGAACCATGAAGTAATGTTTATGTCTCCTGGCAAGTTTGAGTTCAGATATATTATCCTTTCATTCCTCTTTTAAGTTGTTCAGTTTCATTAATAGACTGTATTTGTGACTATGGAGGGAATTTAGGAAAATGCTGACATTTGTAAGAAACAGGCCTGTTTTGTGGAAGCCACAATACAATTGTGAATAATTCACTCTGTTAAATCTCAGAACAGGTCTGTGAAACTTCATGTTAACAGGGCTGATACTAATGATAGCTATGAAAGAAACTCCTCAATCTTTCCCTCTTTCTGTGTCTCCTTTTTATTTTCTCAGAGGTAGATTTTTTTATGAGCTATATCTCTATAAACAATTTTCTTTCAGATGCTAAAGAAGGAAGAAGCAATCCCATGGCCGGGAACTTTAGCAATTGTTCATTCATATATTGCATATAAAGCAGGTAGGAAAATGGTGGACAACACTTTTGTTTCACTTTTAACATAGGAAGGTGTTATTTTGGGAATGAGACAGAATGGTACTTCCTTTATAAAAGGAAATTAAGGGGGAAGAACCTTAATAACTAGTGAAGTGAAAATAGCAGTCTAAATGTTTGTTAAGCCTTCTGTGATGCTTATGTATGTAGGTAAAATTTGGGGCATGATTAAGTGCACAAGGGGTTGAATTGACTTTAAACCCAATTATGAAGCAGTTTAGACCCTCTATTCACTGTTGTAACAGAAACATTTTAAATGTCCCGTTTAATACTGTGTTTTGCAGCAAAAGAAGAGGAAAAACAGAAACTACTTAAATGGAGTTCAGATTTAAAGCAGGAAAGAGAACAACTAGAGCAGAAGGTCAAACAGCTCAGCAATTCTATAACAGTGAGTATTGTCCTCCAAAATAATTCTTCACCTGTTTTCTAGTGCCAGAATGCAGAGAAAGAACTATTATAGAGTGACTTGATGTACTATACCTGTCTTCCACTGGATTAACTGAGAACTAAGTGAGCATTTCCCTTTGCTTTTTAGGACTTTGGGGAGCAGGAATGAAATAAAGGCAACATATACTTACACTGAGTCTCTTATACATGATCCATGCTGACCATGTAGGTAGACCTGTAGTATCAGCAGGTGACAAAAACAATGCAGAGCATTATCGTCTGTGGGCAGTAGATTAAATCAAATTCTCCAGTGGCTCACTTAAACAAGAATGGTTGACCCTCTGTGTGTAAGGAGAGTTATAGTCTTGTTGAGCTTTCCAGACCTTCCTGATGCAAAAACAACTGTTTACTCCAGGATGACTCTCAGGCTCTTGGCATGTTACCTTGGCAGTCAGCACCTGGACGCTGTGCAGGACTCTGCATAATATTAATTAGACAGTGTTATACTTCAAACCAGAAGCTTTAGTTTCCACCTTAGTTTATTGCAGTAATTGGAACATACATATTAATTTGCTCTCTCTTCTCACCTTAATATGCAAATCATCTCTTGAGTTACCAGTGTAAAGTTTGAACCCCTCGCTTGGTTTGGTCCTTCACAGTGTCACATAATGAAACACACTGAAATCTCTGATGTGGTAGCATCTGTAAGGCTGGGTACATAAGTACAGACTTTTTTTTTTTTTTTAAATACAGATGCACTTTCCAGGCTGCCTGTCTTTGCCTTATTAGAACAAAAGTGCCCTGTGTTTTTAGGCCCCTCAGTGCTGACAATACAATAAAGTGATTGGGAGCAAACGAGTGGTGAGAGGTGCTGGTTAGCAGTTCGTGACACTGTCATCTTCTGGTTAGCAGTAGCTGGGTGTAACCTGAGCAGCACTAAAGCATTTACACTGTTTTTCAGTGAAGCACCCAGGCAGATGCAAGCCTTTAACATGAGGGATTGGCAGTGGGCAAGGAGAGTGTTTATACATACATTGGACCTGTCCAAAACAGACACACTAGGTCTAGATTTTATGGTGTTATTATGGCGCCGTGATTTGCGTGTGAAAATAGTAAAGCTAAAACCAACGGTTTCTGGAAATCAGCATGAATAAAAGATTTAAAAAATGTAGAAAGGTTGCTATCTTTGTGTAAAAACCTGAATGTAACAGACGTAGCTACTGTTTGCTCACTTTGAGAGTTTCAAATAAGCAGTTTTTCACTCTTGCAACATCATTTGTGGCCCTTTTAAAAAAATTATCTTACCCTGACTCTTAACTGATGAGCTAACTGTGTTAGCTCTTTCTCTTAGAGAAAGAAGTGGCCACAAAATAAGATTTTCAAGTGAAGAGGAGTTTAGTTTCCTTTTCAAGTGCCCCTTTATTTATTGAGAGAAGGAAGTGATGTTCCTGCTAAAATGTATGTGAAAGCAAAGACTCTATCCCACTAATGGTGTGCACACACACTGTCAGCAGTCAGCTGCACTAGGATGCCTGAGCTTGCAGATCTGAGCTAAAGAAATTTCAATAATGCAATACTAATAGAAAAAATAGTAAGAACATACACTTGGAAGTTTTCCTTCAAAAAGAGTACAAAAGGATGGAGCTGTCTGTGTTCATTTGCAGAACACCTTGGAATAAATGGGAGCCATACCAGGTGACAGCTATGTCCTGGCAATTTAATTCCTCAACATGCAATTATGAATTCTCCTGTGAACACAGCCCAGAGACTTTTTTTTCTTCTATGTTGGAAAAGTAAAATTGTAGCTGCAGTCTTTTCTAGGTTCTTACATTTAGATCTGTGAACATCATATTCCTTCTCGTACCTGCTTTCATTCATAAGCTTGAACTTATTACTGCTTTTCTGTTTTGCTGCAGAAATGCATGGAAATGAAGAATACCATCCTTGCAAAACAGAAGGAGATGCACAGCTCCTTGGAGAAGGTAAAACAGCTGATCCGCCTCATTCAAGGCATCGACCTTTCAAAACCCATAAACTCTGAGGTCAATTCAGTAGCCATCTCCAACGGCATGGACTCCACTAACAATACTAATGCTGCCACCTCCACCTTAGCCCCCTCCCCTTCCCAGAGCTGCATGGTGAACTGTAACAAGGGCGATGAGACTAAATAACACAGTGAAGTTAAGAAGGAGCCAAGGGAGGTGGCGGCGAGGAGAAAGAGCAAAATAAAGAAACTCTAGAAAAGCAAAACTGGATTTCTTCTGGAAAGTGCAGAATTCTTTAGTTCTTTGGTTCCAGAGAGAGCGTGAAGATGCTTGTGCCAGGCGGCACCGGAGTTTGCCAATTGATCCTTCTTATTCTGTGTGTACATGCGAAGTTTGGATCATGTTACATGAATAGTGCCAGCTGGGGGTTCTTTGCCAGCACCATGCCAAGTGAAATAATATATTTACTCTCTCTATATTTTACACCAGTGTGTGCCTGCAGCAGCCTCCACAGCCACTATAGGTTTGTTTTATTTTTGTTTGGGGTGAGGAGCAGGGATAAGGGAGGAGAGCAGGTTTCAAGTTCCTATTTACAGAACAGTTTGTTTAGCTAGGGGAAAACAAAAACAAGTCCAAAGAGCCTATGGGCTTTTCCTGTTTCTAAACTCTCAGTACTATTAAACCAAAAAAACCAGAAATATAAATTATCAAATCCCAGTGCCCAGAAGGGACAAGTCTATCAAATAAGCAGTATTTACTATTGTTTAGACAGGAGATTTACAAAAGGAAAGGAGATGGACTTTTCACTGAGTAACCAGCACATAGAATCATATAATCATAGTATATGCTGAGTTGGAAGGGACCCATCAGGATTATCGAGCCCAACTCCTGGCCCTGTGCAGGACACCCCAAGAATCACACCATGTGCCTGAGAGCATTGTCAGAACGCTTCTTGAACTCAACCAGGCTTGGTGCTGTGACCACTACCCTGGGGAGCCTGTTTCAGTGCTCAACCACACTCTGGGTGAAAAACCTTTTCCTGCTATCTAATCTAAACCTCTCCTGACTCAGCTTCATGCCGCTTCCTCGAGTCCTGTCACTGGTCACAAGTGTGAAAAGATCAGTACCTGCCCCTCTGCTTCCCCTCACATGTATAGGCTGAGGATCTACTGTCCCAACAGCTTGGGGTTAATCCTGTTTCTTCACATTAAACAACAGACTTGCTTTGCAGAATTGGTTTGGGTCCTCACACTCATCCAGAAAGTCTATGTTGGGAATGGGAAAATGAGGGCCAGAATTCAGGGTCAGCTTGGAGCATTGGATGGAGGTGTCTCAAGAGAAAATGTGCATCAATTACTTGAAAATGAGATTCCAGCCCTTTTCTGTATTTATAAACAACAAAGATATCCTGAACAAAGTAGCACATAACCCAGATGTGTGAACTCAACAGAGAAATGTCCTTTTCTTTCACTTCCTTTCTCTTCTTTTGGTAACAAGAACTAAATAAGGAATAGAAAAGCTGTTTTTCAGGCTGACAGTCTAATTAAAGAGGTAGATGGGACCTTGCATGGTATAGATTAGAAGTAATAGTGTCAGTGAGATACAGTGAGTCTTTGTGAGTCCTTGTGTCATCGTTTTGGGCACTGTTTTTTTATGCAAGGGCAAAATCTTTGTATCTGGGGGAAAAAAACACAACTTTTTTAAATTAAAAAGGAAAATAAAAGATATTGAGGTCTTCCTAGTGTTACTTAAAATAAGATCAAGGTAAGAAACATTGTAAAAAAATTACAAAAGTGCTATTTGTTTCCTAAACAAGTGATTTCTATTAAAAAGGTGTCAGAACTGGAGAAAATGCTGTGTACTTAGAATTTTTTAACACAGACTTTGCTTATTTATGATCACATTCTGCTGTGTTTGTGTTTTAAAATCAAATGGGACAGTTTCAGTAGATTATACCATACATCTACTGGCTAAACTCTAAAGAGAATCAAATCCTACAGTGCTGGATCTCACCCCACCTGGAGGATCGGCCAGGCTTGTCTCTGTTGTTACCATCTTTCCCCCATTCTTTCATGTGTTTGTAACCCAGAGAAAAGCAGTTGACAATGTGCTTGTTTAAGGTTTTTACAGTTTTGTGATATGGACTGATTCGAGCTTGAGGATGAAAGACAGTGAGTTGGTTGGACTGAAATCGCCTTCGATTATCTCCTCTTGTTTAAGAAGTTCCTCTCTTATGTATAATCTTTTCACTCTAGACAGCAAAGTTTGCCTTGTGCTTCCTGACTGTGGGGTCTGTCTCAGTTTAGGGTACTGATTCTGGTCACGTCAGGTTGTGTCCCAGAGCTGTCTAGTTTCACTACTGCATATAAACATTTGGGCAAAGCCTGTTTCCACTGGAAGTACTTGGAAAACTCCCTTTACTTCTGGTGGGAGCAGAGCTGAGCTATTACACACACAATGTGAGGCAGTGTCTCCAGTGTGGTGGCCTTGAGAGCACGCGTTGGGTGGCGAGGCAGACCTGCTCAGCCATTTCTGGTGGAACGTAGAAAAGCTTTGGGTTTCAAGGATGCATTTCTGAGTCAGAAGAAGCGAATACTCCAGACTCTACATAGCCTGAGACCATTTCTTTGCTGCCACAACCAAGTGGGCTTCTGTGGGGTTCATAGAGCTGTTTTCCTTCTTCTCCTTTAGGTTGCCCTTCTGCCCTTTAAGGACTTTTATTCCCTCTGTAGGAATGTGCACTATTTTCAGCTCTGAGCTCAGAACTGGTATTGTGAGTTCTCACATTTGTCTGCAGTTGGGAAAGTGACTCTTAGGTGCGCTTCTCAGCTGTGATAACCTCGACTCTGTCTTTTGATGTTTGAGTTCTGTTCTCAAACTAGCAGAGCTGGAAGGATAAGTTAGCACGAGTGGCAGGGAGACAGCTGGGCAGACGACATCAAAACTGATTGTACTAAAAATGTCCCTGCATCAATCCAGTTACCAGTGGGAGCCATCACCACAGGGCAGCACTGGGCCAGCAACTCACAGCATTTAAACAAAGGACTGTCAATTTCAAGGGTGGAAGAGAGAAAACAAACTGAGCATGAGCTTTTTTTCTATTAAATATGAGCCATCAGCTAATGGCCAGATATTCAGGAGAAACTGCCTTTTTGACCAGATTGCTCTTTAGTTGGCCACTTGGATAATTCTTAACAGCATCTTCTGAAGCATCGAATACATTCCTGGTTAGAGACAATCTCAGGGATAGGTGTGCTGAGTCTTCGTGGTTCTCATGGTGTTTGTGGCGTTACCTGCTGAGCTCTCCTGGAAACACTGCAGTGTTTGGAGGTCGCAGGCTATGCCTGGGAGACTCCATAGTCCTTCTGTTTTCTTTGCTGATTCAGGAGGAAATGGAAGGGAAATTCACTACTAACCATATTTAAATTTGAGCACGGTTAACTAGACAGGAGATGTTAAAGCAGCTATTACTGCTTTTCTGAGGCATCTCCTTGTCTCCAGAATCCAAGTAGATATAACATTTTTGTCCCTTTTGTTACAGCTTTTGTGTTCCAGACTGTAAAAGGATGCATTTACTTAATCATTACCTGGTGGAAAAATTATCTTAACTTAGACTTTTTGATACTGCTTAGGTGATTCTCTCTCTCCCCCACTGATCCTGTTTGGATGCTTTTTCTCCTAGCTCTGCAACAGTGTCAGTCCAGGAGCATTCCCAAAGCTGTGGTGGTGCTGGCAATGATGCTGCTATGTAGACACAATAAATTGGGGTTATCTCTGCCCAATTACCAATAATAGGGTGGAAGGGGAATTGGCATTTGCTAAACACAGAGGAAAATGGATTTTTCTTCTGGATGCTCCAGGAGGTTCCAATCAAGGAAGAAATTTAAACTCTTTGACAGCTTAAAGCTCAAGCTTGTCTTCTGGGTTTATATTGGTTTGGGGTTTTTTTCTCATGTAATATTTGAGATAAAATGAGTTTGCACTAAAACTTCTACTCTTTGGGAAGCCGTCATATTGAATGTGGTTTTGTATTTCCAAACCACCACCAAGATACTAACTAATTCTTATGTCATTGCTTGTCATTGGTGGGAAACAAGTGGCTTTTAAATCTCTGTTATAAGGGAAGTGATGAGACCACAAAGGAAGCTCATATCAGAGACAGTCCTGGCTCTCAGCCCAGTGCTAAGGGCTTTAAGAAGTCACCCTGCTCCTTTGCTCAGAAATAGAGCAAGTGTTGCAGAAGTCATTTTTTCCCTTCTCCTTGCAGCCTCTTATTTAAGCAGCTAGAAAGTTCCGTAGTGGTCAGAGTGGCAAAGTGAGCATGTAACCTGGCTAGAAGGATTAGTACTACCATTATTATTCTCATTATTTTCGTTTAGAGCCAGCAGTGATTTTAGTGCTGTACAAAACACAGTAAAAGCAATACTTCTAGGGATGATTGGCAGGTAGAGTGAGTAGCATGACTGATTCTTGCAGGACATCATTTTTAGCCAGGAGTTACCATGTTGGTGGGGTGACCTAATGTTTTGCATTAGCAAAACAGGGCTTTGTTCAGTGTTGTAAGCACATTTCTGTCGGTGGGGATATGAATTCAAAGCTGCTATCCTAGAAATTAAAGAAGTGATAATTTTATGGGCAGATCTGTTAGTTTTATTGTTGGCAGAAAATAGTATTGTAGTTTATCCTTCCTAGCTGACCAGGCTTAAGAAAGCAAGTCTATATTCCATCTGTTTAGAAATGTGAACCCTAATTCTGACCTCCTTGGCTTCAAATCATCTTCTTCCATGTACTGTTTCAGAGACAGCCCTGAAAAGCAGCGTGGTCAGCATTCAGGAGAACCCAGAGTAAAATCTCCCTCTTAGGCCCACCAAGCTGTGGCAACCCACAATACAGGGAGTAAACTCTGAAATTTCCTTCCCATGTGATTACAGTGGGAAATATTTGTGAATTTGTAGTGTGCATGTTTTTCTTTCTTTCCCCCACTGGGTTGCACACTGCCCTCTTCGCTTCTGAGGCACTAATGATGAATACCCATTTTTTAATGAAGTATGTTTTTAAAATAACATGGGTTTAAAATATCATATATTAAGATGTTAAACCAAAATTCACTGTTTTACAAGGGCCTCTCTCAATGAACTGCTCAGATAGTCACTGAAATACTGATATTACACTTCCTTGTCGACCACTCCCCATTGGGCAGAGTTTGTTGTGTCTTTTTAGGGCTGACCCTTTTTCACTCCATTTGTCCTCCTTTGGAATCCTGAA